ATGTAATACTGTATAATCCAGGCATATTTATCATGCAACTTCCTAAAATTGAGGAGGCTATAAGTGTTAGAGTTAGAGCACAGCTCTGTGAAGACCATAACGTAAAATGTTGTTGCTAATGTAGAATCTGTCATTGTACTGTCCCCGTGGTTTTATGCACCCCGCATAATTTAGTAAAATTTAATCATTTTTTTGCACAATTTTTGATTATTTTCCTTTATCATTCTTTGTTAAAATTAACAGAATTGCATAATTTCCCATTTTTGGGCTCAGTTTGCATAATTTCAGAATTTTTCTTTCATAAAACGACGGGGACAGATTATAGAAGGTGTCAGTCAGTATGATGAGCACTTTCAGGAGATAACTAATATCGCATGGAAAAGGAAAAGTATAAGAAATCTTCATGGAAATAGATCTGCAGCTTCAATTAATGTCGTTTTGGTCTAGGCCTTTGGGATATTTAGTGAATGTGTCACATCGCGGTGGAATCAGGCGCTCGACAATTTTAAGGCATTTAGAGTTATTAGTATAATCTTAAAGTGTGTTTAATTTCTTCGGACACACAATGCGGAAAGAAGCATTAGAGAATATTGTCACAACAGGAAAGTTTGATGGAAAGAGAGGCAGAGGCAGACAGAGGGAAAAGATACTGGACAAGATGACAACATGGTTGGGAGCAGCAAGAACAACAGACACCATTGCTGCAGCGAAGGACAGGATGAAGTGGAGGTCCATGATCGCCCACGCCAGTCGGCAAGGCACCGGATGATGATGATAAAGTGTGTTTATTTGTCTTGCTTTTTATGAAAAAAATTACCCTATTATTTTCAATAGAATTCGAGATGTTTTGGACTGAAGGAGATGGGGGTCACCTGGTTTCAGAGGTAAATTTAGTCAGAAAATTGCTGCCAAAGTTTGGTGACTTCCAAAGCTTGAATGTCCTTGAAAACTGAAATTTTACACATTCTGTACATTTAATCAATGTTTTACAATAAAAATCCACACTGCCATGTTGTTTTAATGGACAGAAAAGATGTTGAGCCGAAAAAATATAGTAACTTGATAAAAATTACCATACACGCAGAAAAAAGCCTATTTCTCCGAATTCAATACTTTGACGAACGCATGATTTCACCACGATGCCTCACAAATACATGTTTGTGTCTCACATACTACTCATTATGTATGGCCCTTCAGAGAGTTCTATACAGGTCGCATTTTCAGTGCATAATCCCAAATGGTCGGAGGGCACCACTGGCAGCTCTTGCTTGTGCCATTAGATAAAATTTATTTGATAAATGTAAGCCGGCAAGAGCAACGCACGTCGGCATAAGGGACGTAACCGTGGTATAAAAATATTGCTTTTTCTAATTTTAAAAGGTGTGCAATTTACTTCCCTTAGCCCAAGTGTGCTCACCCACAGACTGGCATAAAAAAACATGAAGGTCTTGCAGCGAGAGTGATTGTTATCTTCATAGTCAGCCGTAATAACAGCTCACTGGTGTTTTGTTCATAGTCATAGTCATAGTCATACTTGCATGCATGTTACCATGTAACAGCAGTATTTATTGTAACACACTACAGCACGCAAAATTCTATACAATGCAGAGAGGGTCTTACAACAAATGTGATGCAGCGTGCTGGAATCAGGCTCTCGTCAATTTTTGGGCATGTAGAGTTATTGGTATCATCTTAAAGTTTGTTCATGAATACAAGTCGAGATATTTGCGAATGAAGGAGGCGGGGGTCACCTGTTTTCAGAGGTAAAATTAGTGAGAAAAAGGGCGCCAAAGATTAGTTATTTCCTTAGCTTTAGAGTCCGTGGTAACTGAAAATTTACTTTTTTGTGCCTTTTATCAACGTTTTTCAGAAAAATCCACACAGAAGTGGGCATGAAAGGTGTTGAGCCAAAAAAAAAAAATTGATGAAAATTCACAAACCTGTTGAAAAATGCAAGTTTCTTCACTTTGATTATTTTGACGAGAGCCTGATTCCACCACGATGCCTCACAAATGTACAACATTTTCGTTGGAGATTCTCTCTTGGTGTGCTCTATTCCGACTTTTACAGAAGAGCAATAAGGCACAGCGTCTTAGGGAAAGAAGGGGGGGGGGGGGGCGCATGTTATCCTCACACTGTGAGAATTATTCCTATGCCAAAGGCACTCTTGCTGCTGTAGCGCTGAAAAACTTTGTGCAAAAATTCCTAAATCCATGTACAAGCAGTTGAGCTAAAAAAAACCAACTGATGGCTTCTTAAGCCTGAGTTTGATTCCCATTTCAGTACTTTACATGAACAAAACAGGCAGAAACTCTGATTTAAAGTCCATTTCCGATGATACTGGGGGCCTGTCTTTGGATAACTAAGAAAATTCCCCAAACTTCTGAAAAGTTTTAAAGATAGCGATTTGTCAAAGGCACTGAGAAATTAATTCACTTTTGATAGGCGCTTCAGTGTAAAATTTAAAGGTAAAATCCTACTCGCCTCTTACGAATGAAGAAAAGAGCTTATTATTGCGGATTGAAAAGTTATGATTGATTTAGTAATTAAAATTTAACCTCTATTGCAACTGTTAAACACTGCCTTCTTGTTATCACAAGAATAATTATGCCTCGTGAACTACTACGACTAGGGAGTTTCCATTACTTACTATCAGAGCCATTCACACAGAAATATAATGCTCGCAAATGAACACGAAAGAAGTGTATCACAATTCTGTGATCTTATCCGGAGGGGCGTAGGGGACAATGTTTTCAGAACCCGGGGAGAAGGAAACTCCAAGCTGATGAGATAAAGAATCGTCTTTGTTTGACCCGGAAACAAATGAGCTGTCTACTTCCGGTAAGGATGCTGAGTCATCTCGTGAGTGTGAACGCATGCTACCGCCGCCATTTTGGATGATGTCCGTGACGGTCGTCATCGATCCGGAAAAGATGCTGTCTTTTCTGGACGCGTCGGTGGTGACGTCACTGTTGGTAGTGCTGTCTAAAGACGAGGCGGTGCTGTATTTCTTAAAGGGGAGAAACCCCGAGTTTTCGGTGGAAGTCAGAAGGTCTTTGCTGTTTTTTCTCGGGGGTTGAACGGCTACAGCTGCCTTGGTGGAGATGCTGTCGATCTGTTGTACAATCTCAGACACTGTGCCCGGCTCTACTTTCAGAGAGTCGCGGTTCTGACCCCGGTTTTGGGCTTGTGGTATGGTCACGGCGTTAGAAGGACGCCTGAGGTTGTCGGATGTTTGCTGAGTGGGGCTGTTGGTCTCGTTTCTGGCTTGACAATGATCCATGATCTCGTCTGAGCGTGCATCGGCATCACTCGTTGGGGACATGTGGTTTGTTCTCGGATCAAGCCGACCGTTATTTTCAGGAGAATTTGCGGCATTTTGAGTTGTTGATGGTGATGACATGTTATTGACTCTTCCATCATCTTTCTGATGCGATAGAGGGTTTTGGTTCAAACCTCCGCCAAAAGTCTGTAGAGGCGAGGGGCTTACATCTAAAACATCACCACCGGAATGTCTCTGCTGACCACGGCTGGGCAAGTGCTGGGTCTTGATGGGCTTGACCACTGGCACGCTGGGTGGAGGGACAGTGGTCAGAGTTCTAGGCGGTCTCTTTGAGCCCAGGAACGTGCTGGTTGACTTGCTGTAAGGCGACGTGCTTCTGCCAGCAGACGACGGCTTGGCGGGAGGAGGCGTACTTCCGGCGTTGGAAGACTTACCGGAAGGGGGTGTGTTTCCGGTGGCTGTTAGTAACGACAGCTCGGCGTTAGGGCTTTGGCTTAGGGGAGTGGCGTTGGCTTTGAGGGAGGAGCTTCTGTCACTGTCTGCAGACGGTGATGGAGAGTGACGTATGCTGTTATTGAACCGTTGTACGTTGAGCAGAAAGCGACCGGTGGTGGGCAGAGCTGGGGAGTTGCTTCTCTCCCTTTTTTTGTCCGGCGTGAGACTTCTATCCCTGTGATGGACGTCGAGTTTCCCCCCTTGACTGCCCGGCTTGCCTTCCGACAATTTCTCACCGTGTGAAAAGAGTGACTTCCCATCTTCAACTCCGCTCCCGACTGCTGTGTTATGTTGCTGAGTCCCCGACCCGAGGGAGGCCTTTGATGAGGCGTCATCTTCTTCTAGGCCTACTTTTAATCTCCCGTTGTGAAGGTCATCGGAGGGAGAAGACGTGACGGAAGCCTCGCTCGTCTGAGGGTAGTCTGGCACCGGTGTGTGCGGCTTTGACCTCACTTCCGGACGTGGGTTGGACCGTCTTCGAGCTTCCGACGTTGGTTTTGGAACGAAGCCTCGCTTTGACGGTCGGATCAAAGGGTTCAAGCTTTTCTCGTCCAAATGGCTTAGGTTCACTTTTTTGACTTTGGGTATTTTGCCTTGGATGAGGAGTGTGGGTTTTCCCAGTTGCCCTGCTCCGCTGGCAGAACGCGCTCGAAGATCGGAATTCGTTTCGTTTTTCAGCTTGGAGTTTTGTCGCTTTGGTGGCGCGGGGGCGGGTCTTGCGGGTCTACGAGTTGTGTCCCCTTGTCCTGTAGAACCCTTCACAGCCGGGGGCCCTGTAGGTGGTGCTGGGGCCTTCCGGTTAGGCCGGTAAGATATCTTAGATTTGTAGCCTCCGGCAGACGACATTGTAGCACTCTTTTTCACCAGAGGTAACTTATCGTCCGTCGTCTCGTCTGCTGGTGACGTGGGGCTCGAGACTCCTCCGTTCATGCTACTATACTTTGGTGGCGTGAGGTCATGACCCGATGACGTAATCGGTTCGGGCGATGGGCTGTGCTCAGATGGTTTAGCCGTTTGGTTTTGTTTCTGTGGGTTGTTTTCCGATGCGTCCACTGACGTCTGTTTCGGCGCGAGGCCTGACGGTTCGAGGTGTTGTGCCGGATCTGACGTCTTGGTTGTGACGTCATCACTCGCTGCTGGTGCGGCGACAACTGGTGTACTCTCGTCCTCCATTAGCTGGGAACAGCGAGTAAAACAGAACGGGATGTATATATCTGGTTTGAAGAGCAAATTTGTGTGTTTGTTTTTATTTTTACCGATAAAACAAAAACTCAATTGGAGCAGCTTACTTCAAAGGGGAATGAATCAATTAGAACTTTATAACAAAACTACCGTCGAGGTCCCAAGTTTCAGAAAGAATCAAGAAATCTATACGTATATTGCAAGCGAGTGTCGAAAATCTCTTTATTCTTTATTGCCCACTCTGCGTTGTCACTTACCGCACATGTAAAATGTACCCCCCCCCCCTCCCCCTCCGTCCCAAAAGACGACCAATAAACAAAACCAGATCAAAATACATAACACCCCCCCCCCAAAAAAAAAAAGAAAAAATGAAAACATTTTTTAAAAATTCCCAAGCCTATAAAATCGTAATTACATATTGTCGTGCATACCTGGACAAAGGATCCCGGAAACCACCCAGACTCCTCCCCCTTTTCACCGAACCACCATCCATTGGCCAACGTCTTGAAGACAGTGATGACGTCACCGGTGTCAAAGGTCAAGTCCCCGGCTTCTTCACTCTCATAAGGAAATTCCGCTCTGTGCTCTGTAAAAGAAAAAGGTGAAATGATGTGACAAATTCTGCACATAATTTGTTTGCGGGTGGTTAGAGAGTGCAATTACTAGTTTAGTTTTAGTAAGGGTTTTACGGCACTTGCAACACACTAAGGTCATATAAGTGCCGAAGATTAGAAGTGTTACAGGAGAGTTACAAACACAAAAAAAGAAGGAGGAGAGATAAGGACGATAGATGTTTGATAGGAAAGAAGGAGGAGAGATAAGGACGATAGATGTTTGATAGGAAAGAAGGAGGAGAGATATGGACGATAGATGTTTGATAGGAAAGAAGGAGCAAACCACACCAGAGCACTCGCCAACCACCCACAGCCATTACTAGCAGATCATATTTCTGTTCTTTTCCTCGTTTGTTTCTATCTGTGTGAGGCAGCGTGGTGGAATCAGGCTCTCGTCAATTTTTGGGCACGTGGAGTTATTGGTATCATCTTAATAAAGCTTGTTAATTTGTCTTTTTTTGGATGAAAAAAACATCCGTTTATCTTGAATACGAGTCGGGATATTTGTGAATGAAGGAGGTGGAGGTCACCTGTTTTCAGAGGTGAAAATAGTGAGAAAATGGCCGCCAAAGATTAGTTATTTCCTTAGCTTAAGAGTCCGTGGTAATAAAAAATTTACATTTGTATGCCTTTATTCAACGTTTTTCAGAAAAATCCACACAGAAATGAGTTCTTTAATGGGCATGAAAGATGTTTAGCCAAAAAACTAAAATTTGATAAAAATTCACAAACTGCGGAAAAATGCAAGTTTCTTCACTTTGATTATTTTGACGAGAACCTGATTCCACCACACTGCCTCACATATGTTTCTTGCTTCTTTCCCGCACTATATGAGGGTTGTTTGTGTCGAAGTGCTTCTCTTTTGTCAAACGCATTATTCAGAACGTTTATCTGTAAAACTCTCTTCCCCCCCCCCCTCCTCTCCCATTTCGCTCGGTTCTATCGGAGAGGGACTTTAAATTCGGAGGACCCACCCTTGAAGTAATCTCATAGTGTTACCCGAAACCTATACAATCACCAATGAGAGAAAAACACCACAAAACAAAACTGTTAATTTAACCTCCTTTCCTCCAACAGAAAAGTGTATGAAATAATTTTCAAAATGAATAATGAGTAGACCTATACTAACTCCCCCCCCC